TCCCACAACACAGACAGTAGCCAGCATGTAGTATGCTAGCTAGTGCTGTGTAAGGCAGATAGGACAGTGTCCGCTTAGGGCTTTTTGGTAGCAATCAGCAGCTCAGATGGTAATGTCCCTGCATTCCTTCCTTTGGAAAAGGCAGACAAGGTTCTTTGAGTAAATCTGATATCTTTTATTAGCCCAACTAAATAGTTGGGAAAAACATTTCTTAGCAAGCTTTTGGATTTAAAAATCCTTCATCAGGCCGAGGAAGCATCTGCAGTTGGTGTGTGCTCTTCCTGCATGGCATGAATAGTAAAGAAGCCAGAAGCTGGTATGCATTTTCCTTTGGAAAAAGCTATTTAAGAAGAGCTTGTAATTAATGAAGCTTTGTTTTCTGATACTATGTTCCAGCTAGTGGTTTGCAGTTTGCCAGGGCAGCTGTTTCTGGTCCATAGTGTTCCCCCCAGACTCAGGAGGTACCAGTCACTCCTGTTTCACAGGGTGTTAAATGCTGATAACAGAGCTGATAAATGCTCTGTTATCAAGGGAGGGGACCCCTCCCTAATTAGTGTCCTTCCGGGGCCTGGCCATGCCCCCTGTCAGCTCAGCCCTGTGCAAGGGAAGGGAGGGCTGCTCTACCACCCCCCAGCTTCTAGCCTGAGTCACTGCACACGTGCCTACACTTCCAGGATGTCTGTCTGGTTACAAAACTGATTTAGCCTAGCCAAGTTAGACTAACCTGCAAAGATTGAATTAATACAGTCGCAGGCTTTTTGAATGTCTGTCCCTAGCCTAACCAGTTAAGTATGCAGCATCTTTCACCCCTACACTATCTACTTTGTAAATTAACTGTACTCCTTTTAACTGCACCAGAACAAGGAAAGAAAAGAGATGTTATTAGAAGCCTTTAAAATGACAGGAGCTTATCAGATTCAAATCTACCCTCTCCCTCCACTTTCAAGGTTTCTAATAACAGCCCCCAACCAACTACTAGAAGCTTTGAAACATTAATGTAGCTACTTTGTGCTGGAGCTCCTAATTGACAATGATGTATACTTAATTATCATCATACTTAATTATCATTACTTTTAAATTCAGATTAGAACACAGCACTTTTTTTTTTGTTAACTTATTCAGAGAACACTGCTAATTTTTCTCTGTTGCATTTTCTTGGCAGCATTCTTCTATAGTTCATACCCTGCCTGTTCACAGGCTAAAGCAATGGAGGCATTATATAGCAAGGCTGCATGTATATGCTGCTGATCTCAAACAGAAACAAAGACAGATGAACTGACTTATTCTCACTTAGAACCAGTGGGGGGAGAGGGGGAAGGAAAATCAAAGCTAAACCTAGTGTCCACATTTGAACAGTTTAACCTTTTTCAACCGAGGACAATTTTCTTACGAATAAAGTATTTTCTTTACAGATATATCTGTTTACCGTGGCCCTGCTGATATCATATATCTGTCTTTTCAAAAACATTTTTTTAAATAGCCAATTACAAGTTCTGCTATATGGAGTGAAGAAAAGGCACAAAAAAGTACTCATTTTTGGCAGGTGGAGGGAACCAGCAATGTACATCAAAATCATTGATAACCACTATGATATCAGATAACAATGTTGATTCTCCTACAGATGGAACAACTGGTTAACCAAAAAGGATGGAGCTACTGAGTATTAACTTTACATGGCATTCACCTAGAGAAAATGAACCCATTATCTATGGCAGAATATAAGTTAAATAATTACTTGTTACTAGTATACACCTCCAAGCAGAGCAAAGAGTGAGTTAGTCATGTTAGTCTGAAGTCAGGCAGAATAGATTTGCACCTTAAAGTCTAACTATATATACACACGTGTGTGCGCGCGCACGCGTGCAAGCAAGTGTAGTTAAGTCTTTAAGGTGCAAATCTATTCTGCCTGACTTGAGAATAACATAACTACCCTTTTGCTCTGCTCAGAGGGAGATACAAGCAACAAATAATTATTTAACTTATATTCTCCCAGAGAGAGAGATAGCATAAACTTTCATGAGCAGCAGGGTTGCTTCATCAGATGCTGAAGTAAGCCTGCCCCTTTCAAAAGCTTATGCCACGTCTCTGCTTTAGTTAGTCTATAAGGTGCAAACCTACCCTGCCTCGTGTTTTCCTCAAAGGAGTAGGTGCTCCTTACTAAACCAGATATGCTGTACACTGCCAGAACTAGAAGGAACTATGGGAATCTCAAAAATGGCTAATACTTGGCAGATATCTATATACATATGGTTTAGGGCAATAATGCCAATAAAATCATCACAAACTGTAAAATTAATTAAAAGATAATCCTTCTGCCATCTTCTGCGCAGCTGCAAATTCTGGCATCACAAGAGAACATATTGGATTGTCTACATATTCAACTCAATAATTCTAGGTTTAACTTTTTCATTCTGTACATTTTTCTCATAGCAGAATTAAATATATGCAAACATCAGGTAGAAAATAGATTTGCTTTTGAAAAATAATGATCTTGTCATGCAAGCTACATAAGCAAAATAAGAGAAGAAAGCACAAAAATATTACTTACTCTATACATCTGAATTATTCCTCAAAAGATTTTTTTTAAATATTAGCGTCAGGATTTTTAAAAAGAATATGTTATCAAATGTGAAATTTTAAAGACATTCAGCCTTTGTTACACATGAAATCAGTTTTGTTTCTGGTTGTCCAAAATAGCTTTTCTAGCCCTTTTGAAGGGAGGAAAAAAGGGTGAGAATATCAGGAATCTAAGAAAGCCCAAACATGCAGATTAAGCCTCTCTAACAAGGAACCCCAGAGGTAAATCTAAGGTAAAGTAGAGGACAACTGGTCAAGGACCAGGTGGCTCTGAAGAAGTCTTTGTTTATGTTATTTAAGGGAGGGAAAACAAAGAAAAGAGGTACCTTTGCCACTGGTGCTTTCCATTGTATACAAGTAATCCATATAGAAAGCTCCAAACCTCTGCATTCCAGCTATCTCCGTGTATGTCTCCTACCAACAAAGCAAAACAAATAAAGAAAACGTTGTATAAGGAAAGAATCTTAAGATTACAAACTGATAGGGTAGCATGAGAGACCTATATGCTTGTTTGGATTTGTGCATCAACACATGGACTGGCTTATCAAAACAAAGGACAGAGGTTATCCCAAGGAATTCACCTTTCAGATAGGTAATGTAACTTCTATTGCAGGCCACACAAAAGCACATCCATAATTCTGCTGGACATTTTGATCACTTTACCAATAACATCAAGTTAATTAGTACCTTTAATGGAGTGAATATACTTCACTTGACCTCTCACATCACAGGAATCCTGTCTAATAATGTACTCTCAAAAACTAAAACTAGTTAATTCTGAAGTATCTGGGGGAAACAGAAAAGGTTGAGGGAGCAGGGAAGAGTGGATAAACAGAATGAATTTTACCTTAGCCAGTAGAAAGCAAATATCACATGACCAAAATGCTTTAATATACCATATTATTAAAAGCATGCTTGTTTATTTCATCATAGAAGTGACAGAACCACATAAAATTAGAAAAGCGTTATTTTTAGTATAAGGAAATTTATGAACAAGTATAAATGTTCTAAGTTCTGGGCTTTACTAATTTCAGTTTACTGTGGCACCATCAGATATCCATCTACAGTACTGCTGCATTTTCTTCTTGTTGCTCTAAAACAGCGTACCTTAATAACATACTACTGTCATGAGGCTGAAGTTTGTGGGGTTTTTTGTTTTGCTTTTAATCAGAGCAGCATGAGAACTGAGTTGGCACTAAAGAGTTTCTTCTATAGGTTTTTAGTAAAATTAACTGCATTTAAAGATCTGTAGCCTTTTGACTCCTAATGTCTACCTCTTCTTTTGAAAATGGGATTTAGGGGTTTTGAAATTTTTATCCAAAAATCTGGAAATCTCACATATTTGGTTTTGAAGAGTTTCCAGACACTCTCAGCAATTGAGACCAAAAAAAATCTAACAATACACATAGGTCTCCAGCTCCTTGCCACTACTCCCAGAAAACCTCAAATATTCTTAGTACATGAATCATTCAAAATCCTAAAGAATAAGGAGGATTTTTAAAAAAAGGATGAATTTAAGAATAAAGCCACAGTTACAATTCAAAAGTATGAAACACTTGAGAAAAAATGAGCTAGACAAGTTGTAGTACAGTTCACAATGGCTAAACTGTCTTTTGGGGTCTATTTTCTTAATCTTCCCTTATAGCTTCTAGCTGTAATTTTCTTACTTCCTTAAGAATTTTTTTTATTTTGACCTTCCCACCAAAAATATGTTAGATCTAGTTTTCCATTTTATACTAGAAGTTTTCTCTGAATCACTCAACTCTGTAGGCTTTATAAGTTATATACATTTTGTTAACTACTGTCATACTCCTCTTCTCCCATATACAAACACATTACAATTATTTTATAGTTTCTACTTCTTTGTATAAGACCAGAAAATAATCATCACATAGCAAAGTACAGAAACAATATGGAGCATTACTGAATCCTAGCTGTGATAGATATAAGAAAGGGAAGCACAAGCAGCAGCACACTTATCTAGGGCCACTGATGTGAAAAAAAAACCAAACCAAAAAAAACCAGTACTTTACTGGAAAAGGAAGTGCATCAGTTTGACCCAGCTCACCCAATATTGACAAATGAATCAGCTGTTAGACAAAAGTGCCAAAAAGCCCCACTGAAGGACACAGTCTATATATACGTTAGATGAGGTGGATCAAACGAATGCAATGCCTCTTCTGGATGTGTGCTGTGCTCAGTAAGGGGGTGTGCCAAGCTGAAACTAAACTGCTGGTTCCTTCCCTTCTCCTCACCACCCCACAAGCAGCCTAAAAGTCTTATCAGAAGAAAATACCAATGGTGAAAATAAGATTCAAAAGGGCCATATCTTTAAAAGTAAATAAAGGTATTTCCTAATACAAAAAATTGATTATTTCACCTTGGGCAAGTCATTGTTAAGCATTATACAAGACAACATAAGATGATGTGTGTGTGAACATAAGATGATCTAATGCACAGTGAAGCAGTATATTGATATCTGACTAAATAGCTATTGTTAGGTACATAGTATACAGCCTTGCTGTCACAAAAGATACAACAAAATTACCACCATTGCTTGTAAGCATCTGAAGAAAATAATATATATATTTTCTAGAGCTGGGCTCTTTAAAACAGTATTACCCCTCTGTGGTCATAAACCAGTAGTGGGTTTGAACAGCATTTGCTGGTGGTCTGTGAGAAACTGAGCATATGTTGGCACATTTTCAAAAATTCAGAATTCTTTTACAGGTACCCAGGCTCTAAGAAAATTGGTAAGAATACAGCTGAAAATCGGGCCACCTGACTACATGTCAAGTCTTCTTAAATTATACTTTGCCAAAAATATCTATTTTGGACCAAGTTTACCTTTTCACCTCTGGGACCATTTTCAGAATAAAAATAGGTAGTCAGCACAAGAAATGGTGACATTATGCAGCTCTTACAAAATGCACATATTTCAAAATCCTTTAAAAATGTTAACAAGAACTCATTAATCCCCTGACCTTATGATGAGCTGCATCCAAAATAAATTCTGCACGTATACCATTGTTTTCTGGACTTCTGTAATCAAATAGTGAATTAGTAAGGTATGTCATTCCTTTTGTGCTCAGATTTTCTCCACAAGTGAAAAAGTAGGCCCC